AAACTATAATCTAGGTGCTAGATGACTATATTATTTTATATCCTATTATTGTCATTTTGGATTTTCTTCTTTTTTTTCATTTTGGTATGTGTGTGGCCAATACTGAGTCTTACATTCAGGGCCTTATGTTCGTGCTTGATTTTCTTGCTAGTGCTCTACAACTTGAGGCATGCCTCTCATCCAGCATTTTGCTGTTTAATTGGAAACAGTCTAGAGGGCTTCCCTTCCCTTCCTCCTCCTCCTCCTCCTCGGGTGGCTTCAAAATGAACCCATCAGGTCTTAGTTCCCTGAGAAGCGAGGATTACAGGTGTGAGCCACCCTTGACAGGCTGAATTCTGCTAGCACGTGGCATTATGGTCTCACCCTTCCACGCTTAAGCAAGTAGATGTAATCAGAATGGATGATGTTTGTGGGCCTGGTTCTGGTAAGTCTCTTCTGCTAAGCACTTACAAGAGTCTCTGGAGACGTGGTGGCTGGGCTCCAGCGCAATGCTCACTGGGAGGCTCCCACTCACCTGCTCCTTGCCTGCAAGGAGTCCTGAACCACAGTTTTGTATTGCCTCCTTCAGCTGCCTCTGATCATGCTCAGACCCAGCCAGACAATTTAGTTAGCCGTTTTGAGGGATTCCAGATCGATTAGAGGAGAGAAACCAGTAGTAAACTCCAGAATCAGCACTCCATTTTTCCTCTGATTCCCAGCCATATGAACTCTAGGATTTTATCATTTGCTCCTTTTATGGCACGATGATGATATTTTATGGTTAGAAGGAGAAGCAGCACACACACACACACACACACACACAAAGCAACAACAAGAATGTAATCCTAGTGCTTTTAAACATACGTTCTTCATGTAGAACATTTCATTACTTTTGTAAAACAGGCTGAAACACCAGACTCGAGCTCACTTGTGTGTGCCTTACTTTGCTGTGTTAGTGAAGAAGTACCTTTGGTTCTGAATTTAGCCAGCATTGATCTTTTTTTTTTTTCTATTTTCTCCATTCACAAGATTCACCAACTGCAGATCATTAAAGCTCTCTTTTAGAAAGACATCCTCCTCCTGGACATTGATGAAAATGAACTAAGCAACTCAAGGGCAGAGATGGGAGGGAAGAAAGGAGGGAGGATAAGAGAGGGAAAAAGGGAACAGCTAACACTTAAGCAAAAGGAAAGAATGTGTATATCACCCAACGTGGAAGAAATAGTTGTACTGTCAAAGCTCATAGAATTCACAAACTTTATAGACCAAGATAACGACAATCTGCCTTGTGAAGGTTAAAATGTGTTTGTAACTTTAACTACATATCACTATCCCACAATACTGTGAAATTTGTGAAATTTATATAATCATTTCATCTCATTAAAAATTATTATTAAAAAAAGAAATACATCCTTCCCCAAAGGTTTTATATCTCTTTACTGTTAGCATATGGTAGAATCACCTTCATGGGTGGTCTTCATCACCGTGGAAATGTGCCTGTTAGTCATTGGCACTGTCACCATGTCTCGGTTGGTGAAATCCCTGGGCAGCGTCAGCTGTGCTTTGGAATCCTGCGTCACTAGTCTTCCTCATATTGTAGCTGTCCAGTCCAGCCAGAGCCATAACTGGAGTTGTCCCACAGCCGCTGTGGCAGGGACTTCTCACAAGTGAGTGTCCCCAAGGATGGGATTCCAGGGAGGGCCAATAATCTCCAGGAAGCCCTGAGTGAACATTCATGAGGGAAACTCAGCACAACGTGGCTGCAGCTTATCTCCAAGGCCGACATTGGAAGGAGGGATGTTCTGTTGTGTGCAGTGAGGGGTCAGGTTGCTGGGGTGATGCATGGATTTGAGAACTTTGTCTCTGGAGACTAGCTATTGTTTTAAACAGTGTTTTGGATAACATCCTTTCTCAGTGCCTGGAAATACATGTATCCGTGCCCCTGCTGGGGTTCAACCCACAGAGGAAAATGGTTAACTGGCCGGGTCACAGGGCAGCCATGATACTTTGTATTTCTTGGTCAGAACAGAGAAAGTGGAGCAACAGCATACATGAACAACTAAGCAAACCTCAGTACAAATGAGAAAGGCTTGGTTGCCAATAGTGAAAGGGAAAGGTTGAAATAAAGTAACTTTTCAGTGTCAGGTGACTATATTAACATGGTGAAATTTAGAAAAAGTATTTGCAAAGGTATTTCTTGTGTTTTCTCTTTTAGAATGTTAAGTTCCCCAGGGGCAGAGGTTTTCTTTTTATTGGCCATTATATCCATCTTACCTGGGAAGTATCTGGTTATACACAGATGCTCAGGAATTTGTTTTTTAGGATCAGATGGATATTTGCCTCCTGAGAAAAGGGTGAGAAAAAGTGAGCTGGATTGGGTGTGGCCTGCTCACATGTAGTGGGCGCTCGTGCGCACATGCGCGGGTGCACACACACATACAACCAGCCACTCACGTGCTAAGTACTGCTGTCCTTCCTAAACTGCTTGCTCCTTTCTTCTAAGGTATCAGTCAGGACTAATGTGGATTGGCAGCTTATGGGCAGTTGAGTATTTATCCCTCAGTTCATAGGGAGAGAAATAGAAAAATGGAAGAGATATATTTTCAAAAATTGGATTTTCAGTTATTATCTCAGAAAATGTTTCCTAATTGTTTTTTTAAGGATTTTGAAATAATATGTTAAAAATGATTTTAGCTCGGCACCAGTGGCTCATACTTTGTAATATTAGCTGCTTAGGCTGAGATCTGGAGAATCAGGTTCAGAGTTAGCCTGGGCAGAAAAAGTCTCTGAGATTCTAGCTCTAATTAACCAGCAAAAAGCTATTCTGAAGGTATTACTCAAGTGGTAGAACGTCAGCCCACACAAGCTTGAGGTCCTGGGCTCAGAGTCTTACATAGTACTCACAGCTGTATGAATTGATTATAATGAAATGCTTTTTTTTAAATCACAGGGCTAAGCCATGAGGTTCAGGAAGACTTTTCTGGTAAGCTACCAAAAAAAAAAAAATACTGTTTATGTTCACACATGCCTAAATATATACCCACACATCATTTATCTTAAAAATATACTCCTTCTGGTCTTGCCTCCCCAACCCCCCATTCTTTGTCTCTGTTTATCTCATCTCCTTATTTTTCCTTTTTCTCACCCTTAAGAAACAGTTCCTGCTGGTTGCTGATGGCTCATGCCTATGTTCTTGCTACTCAGGAGGCTGAGATAGGAGGCTCATGTTTGAAGCCAGCCTCGGTAGGAAAATCTGTGAGACTACTATCTAATAAAACTACTTAGAAAAAAGCTGGAAGTGGCAATGGGACTCAACTGGTAGAGTGCCAGCCTTGAGAAAAAGAATCTCAGGAGCAGTGCATAGACCCCCTGAGTTCAAGCCTCAAGACTGGTACCAATAAAAACAAAACCAAAACTAAATAATTCCTGCCTCCTCTCTCTTCTTCCTTCCTTCTCTCTCATTTCTACACTCTCTCTCACAGCCCTAGCTGGGTATGTTTTCTTAGATGATATGTTTATGTGGCTTTGTTGATAGCCACTAAATTAAGAATGGGCCTGCACACACACACACGGGCAACTCCTCAAGTTTCCAGGACATTTCACTAGGTCAGAATGCCTGCTGCAGATTCAGAGACAGCATTGTGCTTCAAATCAGTGATCATTTAATTGAATTTTTTTGGCTAATCTACTTTGAAATGTTAGATTGCTACTAGGTTCTGAGTTTACAGTGGGGAGAAGCAGATCCATTGAAGAAAATAGCTTAGAAGTGGAGTGCTTTCCTAAAGGACACAAAACCTTAGGTTCAGTCCACCCAGAAGGTGAAATGTTTTCTATCTTGTATCGTTAAAAGCATGTGTAATCATTCAAGTTAAAATCAATATATAGAAGTCTACATATATGTATGTACACATATATACACATATGTACATATATAGCCATGTATTTGTACATATATACACATATATGTACATATATAGATACTAAAATATGTATATGGTTACTAAAATATATATGGATACTAAAACGTATATATACATATACATATACACACATAATATACCTACATATATATTTTGGGGGGGGCGGTCCAGTTGTAGGGCCTGAACTCTGGGCCTGGGCGCTGTCCCTTAGCCTCTTCAGCTCAAGGCTAGCACTCTACCACTTGAGCCACACCACCACTTGGGCTTTTTTCTTTTTGCTTATGTGGTGCTGAGGAATCGAACCCAGGGCCTCATGCATGCAAGGCAAGCGCTCTACCACTGAGCCACCTTCCCAGCCCACCCACATATTTTTTTATGTGTCTATCCTGGGGCTAATACCACTTTGAGCTCTATTTGGCTTTTTAGGTTATTAATTGGAGTTATGAGTCTCATGGACTTTGCTGCCTGGCATGGCTCTGAACCTTGATCCTCAGATCTCAGCTTCCTGAGCAGCTAGGATTGCAGGCATGAACTATGGGCACCCAACATAAATTTTTTAAATATGTATATTTTAAATACTAAACTATTTTAATCATTCAAAAGTAAGAAAATCTAAAAGGCTTTTAACTATCAAAGATTCACAGATACTTTACTAAATTCTATATTTACTAGGGACCATTCTAAAATAAGGTGGATTAATGTAATTCTAGTGAATATGTAAACAATCTTTTCTCACAAAGTATCGGGATCATTGTATAAAATCAGAACATTCTGACTGTTTGCAGGGACTTTTAAAATAAATCCATATATTTAGTATTAACAATACAGCTGGAATTTTCTCTTCTTTTCAGTGCGGGTTGTTGAGAACGTGGGAAAAATAGAGATTATCCTTAAGAAAAGAGAGAATACTTCCTGGAAGAGTCTTGGCCATCCACTGGAGATGCACCTTTCATTTATTCCAAGGAAAGATAGAGGTGTGCTGTGCTCTGTTTTGTTGTGCTTATGGGTGTTGGTGAGGCTGGGATAGCAGTGACAGAACGGTGGCATGTAAGGATGTCATGGTGTTTGCCAGAGGGTCTGGTGTCTCTCTCCAGGAAGTCCTGAGGGGAACGTTGTGTTTGCAAAAGGGCTTTTTATTTCTGTTTTTTTTTGTTTGTGTTTTTTTTTTTTTTTTTGCAGAGGTTGAATTTCAGATTATACTGTGTAATATGTAGATTTCACAAAGATTAGGTAATACCTTGAGTGGAGAATCCTAATAGTGCTAGACCATTATACAAGCGTTCATTCCTTCATAATCATTTCAATTAAAGGTGCAGAAACAGTTTATGTGTATGCCTTAGATGCACATCTCTTTTTACTTTTTCTGTGAAAGACACATTTAATAATTTTCTGCTCAAGTAAACAAAACTATGTGCAGAAAAAGCAAATGTTACAGTGTTGAAATATCACAAGGAACGCATCCTGTGTTTTCTCATTGGCCTGGCAGCACTTGCTCCATGTGTTCTGAAGTTTCACAGTGATGTGTCAGCCTGTGTGTCTGTTCCTACCCTTCATTCGTCTACATTCATCCTTTGTGATCTTTGAGATCTCTATTGTTTGGGAATGGTGACCTTCAGTTCTAAAACTTATCATTTTGCTTTCTCCCTCTCTGTTCTGTTTTCTTCTTTCTAGATGTTCTTACTCTACACATCTTTAATCAGTCACTAAAGATCTTTTCTCTCATTTTGAACTTCGTCCTTTGGTTCTGATTTTTAGTGACTTTTTTGATAAGAGTCATGTTTCTCTACTGGAGGCCTGCAGGTGGAGAAGGTTCTACAACCTTCCACTGCTGCTTCCTCAGCCATGGGATTTCAGGCTTGCACAGTTGCATCTGGCTTCCCCTAATCTTGTTAATTTCTAAATTTATGTTCTGTTGTTTTAGAATCCTATTCCTGCCTATTAAATTTTTTGGGGGAGGGGTCCAGTCGTGGGGACTGAACTCTGGGCCTGGGCGCTGTCCCTCAGCTCTTCAGCTCAAGGCTACCACTCTACCACTTGAGCCACAGCGCCACTTCCGGCTTTTTTTCTTTTTGCTTATGTGGTGCTGAGGAATCGAACCCAGGGCCTCAGGCATGCAAGGCAAGCGCTCTACCCCTGAGCCACCTTCCCAGCCCCTCCTGCCTATTAAATTTTTAAGAATTACTAATAATATTGAAGAGTTTTCATCTCTAATCTCTCTGTCCCCAGATTTATTTGTTGCATTACGTTTTCTTTTTTCTTTCTTTGGTGGTGGTAGCACTGGAGTTTGAACTAAGGACCTCACACTTGCTAGGCAGGCACTCCATCACCAAGCCACGCTTCCAACCCTCTTCTACTTTGGTTACTTTTGAGACCTGGTCTCAGTCTCTACACTCTTCCATTGAAGATGGGAAGGCCTCTAGCTTTTTTCTATTCTGATGGAGTCTCAGGGTCTCCTGCCTGCCATGATCTGCCCTATCCCAGCCTCCACTAGTGGGGATAACAGCTTAGCATTGTGTGAGTACTTTAGAAAGTATGTCGTTTATTAAATGCTTTTCACACATAAAATGTCTATTGTTGTAAAGAAGGAATTATTTAAGAAGTGAACTTAAGAAAGAGGCTTTAATTCCTTAGGACATAATGGTTTGCTTTCCAGGTCTGTACTACAGGAAGTGCCAGCTGGTGTCAAAGGCAGTCGTCACTCCTGACACAAGGCTGTTCTGTGTGGCACTGCCTCCATGCACTCATCTGCAGGTGCAGGCCGGGCACCATGTTTACCTCAAGCTGACCATTGCAGGTGAGGCACTTAGCTCTTTGGGAAGTCATCTTCAAATGATTACTAAGTGTTAGCTGGGCTCATGTTGGTCCGCACTGGGTTTGTAGATGCAGTGCCTGGTTACCGTGTGACACAGTTACCCTAGGCAGAGCTCGTTCCAGGGGACTGTGACTTATTACTGTGACAACCCTGAAGGAGCAAGGTGAGGGGAATGCCTGTGGTCCTCCGTACGGACCACTGTTGGAGGCTTCTATCCACTTCAGTTAGCGGTCACTGGGGTCTATCCCTTATAAAGTTGGATCTAGATAATTTTAAGAATTTGATCAATCTAAATTTTCTGGTTATCTGTGCCAGCAGTATAAGAAATTCTAAAACTGTATTCCTTGCTGTGAAAATTCTTTTTCCTTGTTTTCATCCTGAAATTACTTGTTTTAAATACCCTTCTTAATGGTTGCCATTATTTGATTCCTCTTTAAAGCTGTGAAAGGTAAAATTCCCATCCCCATCACAGTATTTTCAGCAGCAAGTCTAATGGACTCCAAGCCAGGAACTGGTAGATGTGCTGTGTTACCACGGCACTAATACCGGCTTACATCCAAGAGCTGGTGTCTCTTCAGTGGACTTAGTACCAGTATACTTTACACATGAATTAATATTGTACCTGTCTAGGAACCATGTACTGAATTTTGATCTTTAAAATGTTTGGTGATTCTTCTCTTTGGAATTTAGTTATTTAAAATTAAATTATGCATTTTCATTTTACCTTTAAAATATAATATTTTCTTGGAAATAGTTGAATTGGTATTACTTTCATTTATTTACCAAAATAGCATATGTTAAAGTGTTAAATCAATTCAAATAATAAAATAAAAAATTAAATTCCTCCCTTTCTCTCTCCCCCAAACAATAATTAAAAATTTGACATACATATAATTAAAATTATTATATAGATATCTTATTACATCACTGTGGAAAACATTTGATGCCTTTTTTCCCTTCTTTTTATTTATTTATTTATTTTTGTGCCTGTGCTGAACCTTAACCTCAGAGCCTTGGCACTGTCCCTGAACTGCTTTTGCTCAATGCTAGCACTCTACCACTTGAGCCACAGCGCCACTTGTAGCTTTTTCTGTTTATGTGGTGCTGAGGAATCGAACCCAAGGTTTGATGCATGCTAGGCAAGCACTCTACCATTAAGCCACCTTCCCAGCCCCTTTGATGCCAGTTTTGTTCTGACCCATTACGAAGTTTATGTGCTGATAAAATTGATGACGTATTTAGATATGTTATCATCTTTTTTATTTTAGACCATATTTAATAAAAATAGACTGTCTATACGATGGGAAGGTTTTGCTCTGTTAAAATTATTTCAGCAGGTATAAGAAGTATACATATATATATATGTAGTACGTAGATACAGAGCATATATTTAGAATTATGTATGCATTAATATAAAATGTATAGTCATTTGTTTAAACTTTGTGTGTTGCATCTTTTATAAAAGCTTTTCAGGGTTTTGGAATTTAATGTCTTTGTCTTGTTTTTTTCTAGGTACAGAAATAGTGAAGCCATATACACCTGTATCTGATTCCTTAGTCTCAGAGTTCAAAGAGCCAGTTCTTCCTAACAATAAATACATTTACTTTTTGATCAAAATTTATCCTTCTGGACTTTTCACACCTGAGCTTGATCGTCTTGAGATCGGTGAGTAATTCTGCAGTTGCTAGGCCTTCCTCAGGCTCCAGATCCAGTGGCATGCCCTCTAGTTGTCTCTGTGCTGGCGTCTGTTAAATCTTAACTCAGTTCCTCTACAGCCCACGTCGTCTTCCCTGTCTTCCCCATCTGTGCTATTTACAGCATGCTGTCTTACTTCGTTTGGAAACCTGCACATGTTGTTCTTGGATCGTTCTACCAAGTTCCATTGAATCTGCTTCCCAAGGAGTTTTCCTTATTTCCTTTCTACTCCTTTGCCACCCTCTAAAAGCTTGCTGATCTCTCCTATTGTCTCTAACTAGTATCTCTCTGTTTATATGCATTTTCCACTTCTTTCTCTTTATCTGCCTGGAGAACAGATTTAATCCTATGGCTCTGGAGCTTTGACATCTCTCAAGGGTCCCCATTGCTGGTAGTGATTCAGTTTCTTTGAGGCTGCAAAGACTTACATGATCTCTCCAGCTCATCTCTTGCTGTTGAGAAACATTTGTGTTATTTGAAGTTCTATAGAGTTGCTGTCCACGTTGGTAGGCACATGAGGTCTCTCACTCAGCATCTATCCACCCTTCTCCTGTCAAATGCCCTTTTGTAAATATACAAACTGAATATCATTTTTTTTCCCTGTCAGTCATGGGCTTGAACTCAGGACCTGGGCACTGTTCCTGAGCTCTTTTGCTCCAGGCTAGCACTCCACAACTTCGAGTCTCAGCACCACTTCTAGTTTTCTGGTGGTTCATTCAAGATAAGAGTATCATTGACTCTTTTCTAAAAGCCTTTTGGCACACACATTTAATCGTGGAACTGGGGAGGCTGAGGAAGGAAGATCAAGTTGGAGCCCCACTGAATGCACGTACATTTCTTACTTATAATACCTGAGTATAAGGCATACTTACATTAATTTCCAGCTTCCAGCATGGCAGGCAGCACCCAGTAGGCTTTTAGAAAATGTCCCTTCTCCTATTTCTCCCTGTGTCTCTTTCACTGTTTTTTTACCCAATGGAAAACATGTCCTCTTGCTAAGGTATCATTAGCGGTACACTGGGATGCATCACTGAACTCTACACATAAAGAAAACGTTGCTTTGAGGAAGTTAACTCCAGATAGTAGGGGTCAACTGTTGCTCAGCTGCCATTTTGACATGTGCACTTTAACGTCTTGTGAAGCTGGTTAGCATTTGGTTATCCTGCCTGGCTCTAAGCAGCTTGGGGCTGGGTTAGGGATAGGGGCTCCAAGCTAAGCTGGGAGTGAGGGCATACACATTTAATCCCAGAATTTGGGAGACTGAGGCAGGAAGATCAGGTTGGAGGCCCAACATGGGGAGATACTGTTAATAGGATGGATAGAGAAATATATATACAGAGGGAGAGGGAGAGGGAAAGAGAGGAAGTTCATGCTGTGGAATGTTTTTGTTTTTGTTTTTGTCAGTCATGGGTCTTGAACTCTGGGCATGGGTGCTGTCCCTGAGCTTTTCAGCTCAAGGCTAGTGCTTGAGCCACAGTGTCACTTCTGGTTTTGTGGTGGTTAATTGGAGAAAGAGCCTCACATATGTTCCTATCTGGGCTGGCTTTGAACCACGATCCTTAGGTCTCAGCCTCCTGAATAGCTAGGATTACAGACGTGAGCCACTGGCACCTGGTGCTGTGGAGTTTTTATTACATATCATCTGCTGTTTTCTACAAACATTCTGGTATTCTGGTCTCTTTCAAGCTGTGATGTTTCTGTTACTTTGAATTCTTAATTTATCAATTGCTACAAATTTCTTACTACCTAGCAGTGTAAAAGGAAAAAAACTCTGAATATCCTAGCATTTGAAAATAAACTAGAGAATTTGAAGTTATTTAGAAATAAGATGCACAGTTTTAGTTCTTGTTTTTAAAGTTGCACTGGCAAGTTTTAAATGTACCTTGGCTGTAGTTTTCTTACTTCTGCTCCTCCCCGCCCCAAGCCCCAATTCCTCACTGAGTACCTTCTGGACTGGGAGACAGCATTCTCCAAACATAGCTCACTGCTTTCCCAGCCTGCCTTGTTTTCCTAGGAATGAAACTCAGCATCGCTTTCTTTGTTTTAATCAGGTCTTTATAAAAGCTTCATACAAAAAGTACTAACACACGTACTAACACAAAGTTTTTGAAAACATTTCTCCCTACCAAGCCTATCAGTAGATGACCAAGTTTTTCTTCTGTATATTGTACCATGTGACACAGATCTACTTTTGAGGTGCCTATAATATACTTTGGTAGTCAGTCCTATACTGAGCATTTGTGGATTAACACTTTTAATGATATGTAAAGTTTTGGCTTCAGCTTGTTGGAGAAGAGAATTGTGGGAAACAATGTAGTAAAATATTATTATAATGACTTAATCCACACATACTGAGAGGCCTAGGTTACTCTTGAATTCCTGATACACCTTAAAGACTGCCTGTGTGTCTGCAGCTTAAATAGCCATGGTGTTACCTTAACTCCAGCTACTTTTAGCCTTCTCAGTTTCCCTTCTGGTTTTTTGTTTTGCTTTGTTTTTCTGATTTAGCTTATATTTCATTGTTTAGGAGATTTTGTTTCTGTAAGCAGTCCTGAGGGCAGTTTTAAAATATCCAAACTCCAGGAATTAGAAGATCTCTTTTTATTGGCAGCTGGAACAGGCTTCACACCAATGGTTAAAATTCTGAATTATGCTTTGACTAATGTACCCAGTCTCAGGTATGTAATTTTATCTCTAATTACTGTTGCTTGTGAGACTGTTTTATTAACTTAAGGTATTCTAAATTGATCATTTGCTGGCCATAATAAGAGTATTGTCATTCCCTCATTTATCATTTCTTACTCTGCCTTCTTGAGTCCTAGTTAGTTATTAACTTGCTTCTTTATCTTTTTTCAGTTTTTTTAAAATAATTTTGGTTATCTATATTGTATTAAAAAAGCATTCACCTTAATTCACTTTAGTATCTCCACTTGCGCATATTTGAAATATAATTAGTTATGTTTAATGAAGTTTCTTTTTCTTTAAAGGAAGATAAAGTTGATGTTCTTCAATAAAACAGAGGATGATATAATTTGGAGAAGACAATTAGAGAAATTGGCATTTGACAATGAAAGGTATTGCATTGGTATTAACTCTAAATTCATATATTCATATCTACATAGTAAGTACAAGCCTTAACTCGTTTGGTTGAAGCTTTGAATTGATCAGGAAGCTGCCTCTTCAAAGAAAAAAGTAAACTAACATAATTTTCTAAACATAAATACTGTTAATATCCCCCTCAACCCCTTAAAATGCTGTTTGTAAAATCTATGTAATATATCATTTAAATGTACATTATACTGATTTGAGGTTCATTGAAAATATTCCAGTGGGCACATTTTCTTAAATGATGGGGTTCAGGTAAAGAATGTGATGAGGGTGGGTGAGCAGAGACAGGGGACAGGATTTCTTAGAGCTGATACCCACTGTGGCTTTCCCCAGTGGCTTGTTTTGTTAATACTCACAGCCTTAGCTCAAGTATCCTGGGTGCCTCCCTAAGAAATGCTGGTATGGTCAATAGAAAACAATTCTAGTGTAATTATTTGTCTTTCACTATCCATTGGATTAATTTGTAGGTTTATAAGCACATTCTAGTTATTACAAATAATAAAGGAAACCGTGCAGCCTATGTTTCTTTGGGTCTGGCTTACTTTGGGATTACTTTGAGTAATATAATTTTTCCAAGTCTTTCATTTCCTTACAAATGAGGCAACATCATTCTTTCTGATGGAGGCATAGAATTCCATTGTGTGTGTATACCACATTTTCTTGATCCATTCATCCACGGAGGGGCATCTGGGTTGATTCCATATCTTGGCTATGGTAAATAATACTGCAGTGAACATGGTTGTCCTGATGGCTTTAGTGCTGGCTGGTTTGTGGTCATTTGAGTAGTTGGGATTATATGAATAAAGACATGAGGGCCTGAGTGTTGAAGTGTTTTAGTGACAAAGCAGAGTCTCGTTTTCCTCCTAGAGTTTGTCTTTAGCCAAGAAAAAGAAAAAAAACAACAGGAAAATAGAGGCCCTAAGTACTCTGAGATGCCCATCTGTGGCAGTAAAGAGTCACTGCTTCTTAAGCAAAAGAATTCACAAGATTGGAGCTGGGTTTTTAGGAGAGCTAATAGTAGTATGTGGCACAGATGGGAGTTAGGTTAGAGAAGTGTTTTCACAAGAGCTCTCGGGGCCTGATGTGGATGTGGCAGGAAGAATGCCAGAGTTGGGGAGTGTGTGCCATATGGCAAAGAGGAAGGGAGAGGAGGAAGAAACAAAGTGTTGGATATACAGGCTCTGCATATGCTTCAGAAGGAATCTATATGTATTTCAAGCCTTTTCATCTCCTCACTGTCATTCTAAAATAATTTTCCTTATCTTTAAATCGTGGGATTTCCCGTCAGCATCTCAGTTTATTAGTACAATACATTTTCATAAAAAATGTTTCTTAACAAGAATTATTTCCTTCCATTAACATTTTAGACCACAAAAGCATTCACCAGAAACACATGCATTTTCTCTTTTTCTTCTTCTCCTTCTGTTTTGTCCCTGTTGCTTTGTGTCTTGTGAGTTACTTGGGTTTAGGTTCAGGTAAACTTTTCAAGGATCCCAGTTGTTGTGACTACAGGAGTTTTGGAATGGTTCCTCTCATTCCCTCTCATGTTTACAGAGACCTAGAGCTACTCCTTTTTACCCTCCGAGAGGGAGGAGCCCATGGGGACATGTGTCCCAACACTCGACAATGAGAAACCCTTCTCATGCATTCTGATGACCCCTTCATTCATTTCCTGCCCTCAACTTGGGGTCAGTCCTGCTTCACTGTAGCAGTTTCCTCTTTCTGTGAAGGGGATAAACAGGATATGAGCCCCTCTCAGTATCCTTAAGTTGTGTCTCTGCCGTCTATTTGCTTTTTCCTCAAAGTAGCTAAAATTCTAGCCAAGGGACCATTATGTGAATAGATACAAAATGCAAGAGCAGTTTAAGCTGTTTATGTAAAGATCTCAATGGTTTCTCCTCATATATGTACATGCCTGTAGAAAATATGCCACTAACCATCTTTTTTCCCAAAGAAAAACATACAAAAGTGAAAAACTTATGAATGATACTTATTGCAGTTTATAGGGACTCAGTATTGATTTTCATATTTTAACAGTTTTATTCCAGTGAAAAGTTCATTGCAAATAGAGGTATAAGAGACCGTATCTATTTTTTTTTTACTCAACCAAGGCACTTTTCTTTCTGTGTTTTATCCAACTGTCTATGTGTAATTGAAAATTTTTTAGAACAGTGGCTCTGTAACTAATTTGGGGGTCCCTTTGAAAATCTGATGAAAGGTTATAAAACCTTCCTAGAAAAGTGCACTTACTCACATGTAAATGAAGTCACATTTACATATGTAAATAAATTAGTGACAGTGAATTGCCTTGTATAAACTAAAATGATAGCTTCCAGACCTTACAACCAATTTGAGAGAGGTGTGAACCAGAGATTGAAATTCACATGCCACTGAACCTGTAAAATGGCTCTTCACTGTGATTTTTACCAGCATGTAATTAATACAGTGTGGAGTGTGCTGGGATCTATCCTGAGTTAAATAAAAAGGCCAAATTACTTAGCAAATATCATGTGCCTGTATTTTTTTTGCTACAGCTTTTCTTCTCACCTATTCAGGTCTCTGGTCAGGGTCATATATTACACTGGCCTCTCGGGGAGTGTCTTCTTGAATTTGAAATGTGCTAATAATGTGTTTAAAATAATAGAGTTTTAAAAACTGGTTCTTTTCCCTAGATTTGATGTTGAATTTGTTCTCTCAGCACCTGCTTTGGAATGGAATGGCAAACGGGGACACATTTCACCAGCTCTTCTCTCTGAATTTTTGAAAAGAAGCCTAGAAAACTCCAAAGTCCTCCTGTGCATTTGTGGACCGGTGCCATTTACGGAGCTTGGAACTGGGTAAGTGCCGGCCGGGGCGAGAGTGAAGGTCTTCCTCAGGTTCTTACACTTGTGCAGTCTGTTAGAGCGTAGAGAAACAAGAACAGTTTTAATCTTCATGCAGGTACAGGGTAGAGAGTGTATGTGTAGTATAAACAATGTAGAGAATAAAGTATATGAGAGGAATTGCGTAGGATGCAAACGCGCCATTACTTTATAGGAAGGACTTGTGTGCCTGCCCCAGACCGGTCCCCCCTCCTCCCAGGTGAGCTGAGGACCAGTGCCCCCTCCTCCCCCAAGTGACCAGAAGACAATCCTCCTACCCCCCAGGTGAGCGGAGGACAGGGGGTCACTGCATTGTCACCTCACACTGTCCATATTTGTCATTTTGTGTGAACAAACAACAGCAGAAGACGCAGAAGCCCCACTCCCCTTGTTTAATAAAGAGAAAACAGCTTATAATTACTAAGGATAAAATGGTTGTGTGATGAGGGGTGGGAGCCGCATGGTGAGAAAAGACCCGTGCTTCGAATGGTGACTGAAATGCACAGCCAGAGGAGATGGAGGGGGCAGACACTTTAGTCAAGTGTAGAGGGAATCCGAAGATAGACTGGCTAGGCTAGAGTGAGTGAAGGCCCTCACCTGGGAGAGTCAGCTGGAAGGTAGGCGGGGCCCAGATAGTGAGAGCCTTGCCTGCAGTACCAGAGCTCCCTTGGGATGTGGCCCTCTGCCTGTGAGCCCAGGAAGCTGCCAGCTGGGGGTTCAGTGCCTGCCTCCCCATTTAAATCACTCACTACCCAGGAAGTGGAACCAGATAAACAACATTTCCCTGCATGTGAAATGCTTCATCTGGCAGCAGCATGTGACTTAGTAAACGTAAAATAAAAGCTGCTTGTTTTCAGCAGCATTTTAAACAGAGCCATTTCTGTGAGGTTCTCTCCACCTATACTGTTCTCCAAAGTGAACTGCATTTCAGCAGCTGTGTCTGTTATACCTGTTTAGGAAGGAAGAATGAAGGTAGACTGCTAGAATCAATTCCTTATTTTGAAAACTGTTGAATAAAGAGACATAGAAATCAAGCATCTGTTCTGCCTTTTCTTTATGAGCCAGACTTCTAGATAACTATATAACAAGCAAAAATCTAATGAACAAAAAAAGGATTTGAATATTAGGGAAAAAAGTAGAATGTCATCAGTGTTTGCTAGAATGTAGTAAGAGAGGCAACTGTGTATTATGTGCCATTGTGAACTGGCTTTACCAGACAGAATTAAGCCTTCATGAGGCTCCAGATACAGTTATTAAATGTGGGAAATGAGGGAACATGGGAACATGTTACCAAGAAACATGACAGAGATACTGCAAAGTAAGGGCTGTGGTGGGGTCAACAAATAAATTTGATTTTTTGCAACAAATATTTTGTAAGATGTGGTTGGGGATGGAGGGATGAAGGAAGGAGAGAAAGATCTTACAGATCAAAATATACCTAAAAGATTTATTAGCTGACTTTAATGAGTATATTGCAATGAGTAAATTGACTCAAACAACTTAAAAAGTCATGACATTTATGAACAAAGGAAAATTTGAACACTGACTAGGCATTTGATAATATTTAAGAATTATTGTCATTTTTTAAAAGTAAAAATTACATTTAAAAGATTGCCTAATTAAGTGGAAAATGAAAATGAACTGTGGTGCAGAGATAAATTTTGTTCTTGTTTCTTCATCTTTTAATATCCCTCGCACTCTGCACTTGTTTTTCAGGTTGCTGTACGATCTTAACTTCTCCACAGATGAGATCCATAGTTTTACGGCATGATGAAGACCTTCCATTGTCTTCTATTCAACCAGGTTATTTTCATCTGTGATGGACTGAGATTTTTTTAAGTGAACATTTTTGTATGTCCTAAAGGTTAACTAGAGTCCAGGCTTCCATTTCTTAAATGAAATCCAGTGTTCCCTCAGTACAGGTAACTTCTTGGTTTTTTTACTACTGATATTTAACCTGGACAGCCAATCATGACAACAGTGACATGCAAGATTCTTTGTTATGGGTTACAAATTTCCTTATATTCAGATTGTATCACTGTTCTACTATATCACTTGCCAATGGTCACTTTGATTATGTTTCTATGCTATTGTATTATTAGCAATACGTTCTATTTTACTCAGGAATTGATCATTTATGTCTTTGTTGTTAATATTAAAATGTGAAATATGGTAATTTATTAAGTGACCCAAACAATTTTTTGTATGTATGGCATTGATGCAGAGTAGAATAAAATTATACTTCAGTACTTTTTAATTCTTGTTTGTAGAAATGTGGTGGAATACAACAACACTGGACCAATGTCTTAAAGGGAATTGAGAGGTGCCAATACAACGTGTTGGAGACATCCCCCACACACGCCATGTTGGGCCGGGCATGCTGGAAAACATGAGATCCCTGACAGCTGTTTGCATTCTTAGCCAAAGCCAACAGCCTCAGAACAAAGTGCATTTTCACATTTCTAGCATCCAGTTCATGGCCTAAAATTATCATCATGGAGTGAGTTGTTTTAATTCTCTTTTTGAACAAATCTAAGCCCGCTGGGAAAGGAGCACATCTCACCCTTGATGGCTATTTTCCCACTGCCTTTGTGGCCGGCAGGTGGGCAGGGTGGCCTCCTAGTAGGCGTGCGGCTGCTCACTTTCTTGGGTGCTACAGCAGCGGAATGCAGTCCTTCCCACCAGGGTGCGCAGCACCCTTGCTGTGGGCTTTTCAGTCAGGGCCACTGAGTGTGGAGGAGGTGGGGTCTGCGTAAGCCAATGGGGACTCACAGACACTGAGCAGGAGGGGCCCCTTCAAGAATGGATCATTTTCCTCTCTCTACTCAGACTCCTTTTCATCCCAACTAAACCTGCCCCAGCATTCTGTGTGCACCAGCAACTTGCAGCGAATGCAAGATGTTAATGTTAGATCTGGAATTTTGAGACATCTTGGGGAACACTTCAAGTCACAGGCATAGGTGGTAACTTCCTGAGCAGGTTTCCCAGTAACTCAGGTGATATGGGTGGGGCGGGGGAGGAGGGGTGTTGGGTTGGGAAGGACTGACTGGGGTTGCAATGAATTAAGAATACTTTATAGCACTGGTACCAGTGGCTCGCACCTATAATCCTAGCTACTCAGGAAGCTGAGATCCGAGGACTGTGGTTCAAAGCCAGCCCAGGCAGGAAAGTCTGTAAGACTCTTATATCCAATGAACCACCAGAAAACCAGAAGTGGTGCTGTGGCTCAAGTGGTAGAGTGCTTGCTTATGATGAAGAGCTCAGGGACAGTGCCTAGGCCCAGAGTTCAAGCCCCACAACATTCCCCCCCCAAAAAAAATTACAGGACAAAGACAACAATTACTAGAATAAGAGACCAGCTATCTATCTGACAAGGGATTAATATCCAGGTCATAATAAAACAAACTCAAAAGGAATAAATAGCCTGTCAATAAAGGGGCAGATGAATTGGACAGATACCATCAAAAAGCAGCACAATGGCAAAGACACATGAGGAAACATTCAGCATCTTCAGCTATCAGAGAAAGCCAGATCAACTACATCGGAGTCCATCTTGCCCCAAATAGTGTGGCTCTCATCAAGAAAACAAAAAACAAATGTTGGAGATGATACAAGGGAAAGGGAACCCTGGTGTGCTGTTGGTGGGATTGTAAATTTAGGCTAGTCACTGTGGCTAGTGAATTTAGGCTAGTCACTAGTCACTTCTCAAGAATATATACCCTGAAGAATCAACATCAGCTGTCTGTAGGAACATATTTATCATGTCATTTTAAAAAACTATAGTCAAGCTATGAAATCAATATAACTGCTCATCAATGAATGAACAGATAAAAGATATATACAACAGAGGGATGGGAAGGTGGCTCAGTGGTAGAGTGCTTGCCTTGCAGGCATGAGGCCCTGAGTTTGATTCCTCAGCACCACATAAACAGGAAAAGACGGAAGTGGCGCTGTGGCTCAAGTGATAGGGTGCTATCCCTGAGCTCTTCCCAGAGTTCAAGCCCCACGGCCAAAAAAAATGTGTGTGTGTGTGTGTGTGTGCACAACAGTATTAGTCAAAAGGAAGAATGAAGCCGGGCATTGGTAGCTCATGCCTATAATCCTAGCTACTCAGGAGGCTAAGATCTGAGGATCACGATTCAAAGCCAGCCGGGGCAGAAAAGTCCATCAGACTCTTAACCTCCAACAAAAAACCACTCAGAAAACCAGAAGTGGCACTGTGGCTCAAAGTGGGTAGAGCACTAGTCTTGAGCTGAAGAGCTGAGGGACAGTGCCCAGGCCCAGAGTTCAGGCCCCATGACTGACCAAAAAAAAAAAAAAAGGAAGAATGGAATTAAGTCATTTGGAGATGAATAATGGAACAGCTCTTGAATGGAAGTTTGGGGAGGAGGAAAGAAGAGTATGAAAGTAAATGGGAGATTCTTAAGGCTGGGGAAGGAGATAAGAAAAATCTCCCAGAAAACAAAACAGTAAAAAGATACATTTGATAAGGTTATCCATTTTTCCTATAAAATTAAAAAATTCTCTAAGTGAAGTTGATGATCTATGCTTAAAATAACAAAGAGGAGCCACGCTCATGACTTATTCTGAAGGCTGAGATCTGAGGATCATGGTTGAATGCTAGCTCAGTTATGAAAGTTCCTGAGACATCTATCTTCAGTTAACCAGCAAAGAGCTGGTGGCTCAAATGGTAGAACATATGCTTGAGCCACTGAGACTTAATTCAAGCCATAGTGCCAGCACTATGTGCACTTATCAAATAAGAGGAAGAATGGAGATGGAAAACCATAATGAAGGGTTTTGTTGCTTTTTTCAGGTATAATGGAAACTTTAAAGGTCAGGTATAATGGAAACTTTAAAGGTGGTGTGTGTGTGTGTGTGTGTGTGTGTGTGTGTGTGTGTGTGTAAGGTATAATGGAAACTTTAAAGGTGGTGTGTGTGTGTGTGTGTGTGTATTCTGAACCTGGGGCTTGAACTCAGAGCCTGGATGCTGTCCGTGAGCTCTTCAGCTCAAGGCTAGTACTCTATCACTTGAGCCACAGCACCATTTTGTGGTTTTCTGGTAGTTAATTGGAGATAAGAGTCTCATGGACTTTCCTGCCCAGGCTGGCTTTGAACTATGATCCTTAGATCTCAGCCTCCTGAGTAGCTAAGATTGCAGGCATGAGCCACCAGCACCATCTTTTAAAAATGTTTTATTGAGGAAGAGTTTGCAGACAATACAATGCGTGTTAAAAATCTATTTAACAGGTATGTTTCCATGAGTTTGACAAAGGTATGTACTCCACCATAATAAAGATGCCAAGCCTTTCCACCAAAAAGAGTTCACCATGCTCTCAGACAATCCATCCAGGCTCTTCTCTGGCCCCAGACAGCTGCGGATCTGCTTTGAGTCAGTGCAGATGAGCTATTTCCTAACTGTCGTTCGATAGAAATGCCATCATCTAATATGTTCACATTTGCCTCTGGCTGGCTTGCGTCCTTTCTGGTTGTGTTCGCAGGTATTTTTGTCAGTGATTACCAAGCGGCACTAGCTCATTTCTGAAGATGACCGACTCAGCACTGCAGTGAGCTCTGACCTCTGCTGTCCCCACTCAGGCAGGACACAGACGAACCACTAGTCTATACACTCGTCAGCCCAATCTTTGCCTCCCCTATGTGTCCATCTGACACTGGACAGACAGGCTGTTATCCTCAGAGTTCCCATGAGATGGGCTTCCAGGAAAGGGTCTCGATGCTGGAAAGCTACTTGTCTGCCTCTGTTTCCCCATTCCCTCCTTCACACACGTAAGCTTCAGGCCAGCAGGGACTTTGCCACTTGTTGAGCCAATTGGACAGGGGAGGGATGACGAAGGTGGTGTAGAAACCATACCTCTTGTGCTTCAGATTCGATGTTCATTCAATTCTGTGGACCCTGTGAGGATCTCACAATTGTTTCTGTGTGTTCAAGCTTTCAAAAAGTTTTCTATTGGCCGGGTGTAGATGGCTCACGCCTGTAATTCTAGCTATTCAGGAGGCTGAGATCTGAGGATTGTGGTTCAAAGCCAGCCCAGGCAGGAATGTCTGTGAGACTCTTATCTCCAATCAACCACCAAAAAACCAGAAGTGGTGCTGTGGCTCAAGTGGTAGAGCATTAGCCTTGAGCTGAAGAACACAGGGACAGCGCCCAGGCCCAGAGTTCAATACCCACTACCGACAAAAAAAAAAAAAAAAAAAGAATTCAACTCTGTGGCTAGTTGCTATGGGGGGAGAACCTGAGACTTCTGACTACACCCCTAGGGCTGGCTTCCCCTTCTATGCTCACATCACTCATGATTAAAGCGGCTAAAGTAACATTTCAGTCGACAGAATTCTCTCTCTTAGCAAACAAGCTACAAGATAGTAAGAAAAAGAAATAAGAGGAATGTTTCCCCTACTTTTCGTGTGTGTGCTGATACTGGGCTTGAACTTGGCCTCTTACTTTTGCTCAGCTTTTTTACCTCACCACTGGTGCCACTCTACCACTTGAATTACACCTCTACCTCCCTGTAACTTTCTGCTAGTTAGTTAACTGGAAATAAGAGCCTCTCAGAATTGTCTGCCTGTGCTGTCTTGGAATCTTGATCCTCAGATCTCAACCTCCTGAGTAGCTAGTATTACAGGTGTGATCACCAGGGTTCATCCAGCTCCTGCTACTTTTTGCAAATCCAGTCTCCAGCAATGAACATTTCTAGATGACCTGAGGTGTCAGTTAAATCAGGTTTAATTTTTGAAAGCAGTAAGTCAGTGTTTTTCATAGGGACTCAATTAGCTCTTTAAATGCCGACTAATAGTTGGGTCTAACTTTTTGAAGCATAACTGGTAACTGCCTGGAGCATCTTCTAAGAATTCTCCCCTCCCTGAAAGGACAGAGACAGTGAGAACCATTTTGCAGTTTTGCAGCCAGTTGCATGCTGTATGCCTGCTGAGTGGAAAGGAAGGGCCCAGCCCAGCACCTCTTTCCAATGTTACAGCAACTTGTGGATGGCCATTCTGCTCTGGAAGGCAGGAGGTGTCCCAAGGAAAAGCACTGAGGTACAGGCCGAGCTAGCTGCCATGCACTGCAGAGAAAACGAAGGATATGTGAATTGAGATTACTCAGGCATCTTCTAAAAGATCAATGCAGTAACTGTCACTGTTGAAAATGACATTTTTTTTCCTAGTTTGGCTGATACTTTTTTTCTTTTGCTATTGACAAAGTTTAACTCTTATTGAATTCTTATAGATAAGAATTCA